TGCAGCGAGGGCTGGAGGGGACGGGACGGGGCCGCCGCTCCCCGCACGCCGCCGTGTGCCGGCACAAGCAGCGCTGCGAGTTCGGGTCGTACCCGCGGCGGTTTGCTGCTGGTGGTGAAGGCAGAGGACGCGGTGGAGCTGCTTCCTTGCCTGATGGCGCCTGCGGTGGTTCTGCCCCGCAGTTAGGGCAGCTAGAGTATTCACACAGCCCTCCTCAGCCTGAAACCCGAGGGGGGTACAGAGATGCTGATGCTGGATTTTAACCGGGAGCTCTTCTTTCAACTAACGGGCTGCGTCCCATCCCGTCCCCCCTGGTGAAGCGTATTGGTATAGGGAAGGGAGGAGAGGGGTGACTGGGACCGTGGTTTGGTTTCACAGGTAGCATTTCCTCCCGTGCTTCACACCAGCTATGGCTGGCCATCTCTCGGAGAAGCCCATGGCAGTACAGGGGGCTGGTGGCCTCATCTTAACAAGTTCTGACCCTTTGGGCAGGTCAGATTCCTAGATCAATACTCTAATGATTATTAAAGGTGACTCTTACGTTTGCCAATAGAGCAAGAGTGGTAACCAAAATTACACAAGTGGATTTCAGTTGAGCTGTCCAAACTGAAAGGAATGCTGTTATTTTGTTTTGGTTTTTTTAAATCCCCCCCCTCCTCCTTAAAAAGCTCAGACTTCTGGTACAAGAGCAGAAGGATGATCTGTGTAACTCCTTGCATGTGAAGAAATCTTTCTCCCTATAGGAGGAGCTGCCTTGATTGTGGTACCGTGGCTCATTTAAAAATAATGAAGTGGAACCAGAACTACAGCTGACTTCGAAGACAGCTGGTCAAGAACTGTTGGGGGCTTCGTACTTGGCACTGTCACATGTTGTATCTTTACTTTTAGCTGCTTGTCTCCCTGTGATAGCATTCCCAGAGGCTCAGTCCAGCTTTTAGTGATGTGTTAATCAGCAGTCTGGGTCCTGGCCTAGCAAGTGATTATCAGGGCATTGATTCTACTTTTCTCCAGCACTTCAGCCCTGTTCTGCTCTCGCTAACAACAACGCAGTCAGTTGTGTTGTCTGTGTAAGCCATTTCATGCAGCCAAGCTCCTGTGTATGAAAACCCCGATCGGTTTCAATGACTTCAGGTAGAGGAGTTGAGACTTAAAGCCCGTGATCTACTTTCTTGATGTCGGCTTGCTTTCTCTTCTAATTGGGTAAAACATATTCCAGGGTGTAGCAGAGTTTGTAACGCAGCTCATCACTGTTTAGCTCGTACCTCTGTCCGTGTTGACGAGGGGATGCCAGATGCTGCTATGCTTTGTAAGCAGATAGAGGAAATGTTGCCCTCTCTCAGATGTACGTACAGCCCCTAGCACAGGGAAGGCACAGTGCTTTGCCCTGTCACTACTCCCGTAGTGGCACCACGTCATTGTTCTGTGTAAGTACCTCATCTTTCAGTATAGTAGAGTGACATCTCTCATCTAGTTACGAGTTGCTCTAAGCAGGGAGGGATGAGATTGGGATTAAGTGCTGTGAAATCTGTGTGTACTTCCCGTTCAAATTTCAAAATCTGTTACGTCTGGGGAGGTGCAACACTGAATTTTGCCTGCTGACCACAGATGGTGGCTTTACATACCCCACCCAGTGCTGACTATTCCAGAAATTCTTGCATAGTTCACGACACTCACACTTCTTTTAGGAGTTGTTTGTAAGAGGAGGTTATCTTATTACTGGAGGAGCAGGGGGAGGCGTGATTATATAGGATAAAATTAGGAAGTTGGCAGGAGCCAGAGGACAACGTACTAGTTCAGCTGATGAGTTGTGCTAAAGTTTAAGAGGATTTATAGGCAGCTCTTTCTTCCTGCATTTTGATAAGTCAAGGGCTATGCTGTGCTTATAAAACCTAAATATGATAGGAGTTAAAAATTTCCTGTGATGGAAATAGCAACATGCATGTGGAGCACTAGCTATTTAAATGCGTTAGTTTAATGCTGTAGGAAAATGGGCCAATTGGAAAGTACAGCTAATTTTAAAGAGGCTGCTTTTTGTGTGAGCTGGGATCTAGAGGCAGCCTCCACGAGTTTGAACTACGGGCATACCTGCACTTACTACTGGTAAGATGTTGGGGGCAAAAATGTTTAGTGCATGGAGGACTTCTTGCTCACCTCCAACATGGGATGGCCCGTGTCTTTGTGCGTTTTACAGAGCTATTTGACAGCATGTGCATAAATCCTTTGTTGCAACTTTGCAGCTGAGTGGAAGTCAGCCAGGAGTGAAGTAATGGAGAACGAAGCTGGGACAGAGTTGCAAGGTGTTGCTGAACCTGTTATTTGGAAGATGAAGCGCCCTGATGCAAGCTTACGCTCGGGTGTGTCTTGTGGTTGATGTAATGCCAGCCATCTCTTGCCTCATTGAGGCGACTCGGTGACACCAGTGGGTCCTTCTAGAAAGAAGTACAGAAATCCTCAGAAGAGCATTCGTTGAAAGGGAACAGTCATGCCCAGAAACATCCCAGGGAAAGAAATGAAAAGGATAGTCTGTTTTGGTTGACAAATATTTCTTCCCGCACCCAGAGAGGCCTTAGAATATCTGAGATGCTTCCAGTGCTGAGCAGAGGCACTAAATGCATCTTAGAAATGCAGCATGGAGTTCAGGCAACAGTTGCAAGTCTTAGCAAAGCTTGGCCACAGGATTTTATGGTATCTTGTACTGCTAGTTTCTGACGCTTGTTTTGAGCCAGATGTGCTAGGAATTTCAGCTTTAAAGGTTTTTCCCTCTGCAGTTTTTCTTGAGTGGTCTCTTGTTATTGTTTCAGTCCTAAATGGTTTAAAGCTACAGATGTACAAAAGAAGCGGTATGTCACCCCTCATCTAACTTCTAATGAAAACTTTTTTTTTTAAAATGTATTATTTCTATTTTGGCCAACGCGTGCTTCTTGAGTGTCCTTTCCTTCAAGGAACTAAAAAACAGGTTTATTTGAAGGGGTTGTATATATGGATTATCAGCCTTGTTAGGTGTACCCTAGATAACGCTGTCTGTATACGGAAAACATCCTCACGCTGTTGTAAGTTAGTATATACTTCCCACAGTGGAAATGCTCTTTTCTGGGGTTAGTGTTGGCATGGGGGTAGGTAGGTGTCTCTGAAAGTAGTTCCAGGAACTTAAGGTAGTAGTTGAAAATGAATTCCTGTTTTTAGTAGTGCTGCTCAGTTGCTCTTTCTTAATAAAGGGGATGTTATAATCAACTGTAGTACGGTGTGCATTTATTTTAGTCAGTATGTTTTTAAAGAGGATACCATTTGAGAATCTATTAAAATTATGTGGTTTTACCCCAATCGCTTACTCTCCTCTCATGTCTCCTGACAACTCTTATGAGTACTGTCACTTTCCTTTCTCCTTCTAGTGTCTGATAGTTCACATCTAGGGGAGAAACTAACTACTTATTTTTCATTTGTTTGCTATTTGTACATAATGATTTATTTTTTTTTTTGTCTGGAAGTTAGTCAGTTGCTCACCAGGTGTGACCAGTCAGACCTTTCCATAGAAGTGCTGGTTTTGTGGTACGTTTTCTTAAAACTGTTCCATTGAATGCTTTGAACTTGTTCATTACTTTCACTCTGGTTGGGCAATATGATGGCGGTCTTCAGCTATGAGGTTCCTATGAGGTTTTTTTGAAAATCAACAGCTGAGTCAAGAAGAGACTGATAGATGAAAAGGGTGTGATGTAAATGCAGCCCCTGCTAAATGCTGCGGAGCCTGCGTTATTGGAGGCTGATGTAAATGCCACAGGAAAAACTAATCAGAGTTCTGATGTTATTCATGACTATCCTTAAGGTACAACTTCATGGGTAAACTGAACTTTGCTAGTTCTCCAGGTTATTGAACTTAACTTTGACTTTCAGAAAATCCTTGAGTTGTGTGGATTAAGAAAAGCAATGAATTTCCATAAGCTGCTTTTAAAGAAATACCGTTTAAAGATTCTTTTTTGAAAATGCTGATCTTTGCGGTTTTTTGTTTGTCTCTTTTTTTTCCTCTGATTTAGAAAACTCTATGTGATGTCATTCTTATGGTTCAAGAGAGAAAGATCCCAGCTCACCGTGTTGTGCTTGCTTCAGCCAGTCATTTTTTTAACTTGATGTTTACTAGTAAGTCTTTTCAAAACTGATTGATTATAAGCTTTCATGATGATATCCTGTTAGACTTGTGGCTGACAAGCTGTTTATTTTATGAAAGTGACTAATTTCAGGCATAAGTGAAGGTTTCCTGATTTTGTGTCTGTCTTCCACTCATCTCTGTTCACCCTTCCCCCCAGTTTCCTTTTAACTCTCTTTTGATCAAGTCAAATGTTACTTCATATGTAAGCTGCCATATTCATTGGGGCCCATACACTGTGTTAGAGCTGGTCTCCCTCCCTTAACCTGAAAATTGGGAGTTTTTACTCCCACGACAGAATTTGTCTGCCCCATCACTTCCCACCATTAGACACTTCCAGATATAAAACAGGCTTTCAGAAGTGTAAATATTCTTGCATTTATGCTATCTTTACAAATTCAGTTATGTGGTATCTGTCTCACTTTTGTATGCGTTACCCGTGAATTGTAAAATTACAGAAAGTCGAGTGGAAGTAAAATAACCATGCCTCCAGTGGTCAGCTTGTAACCCTCTGTGGGCGAACTCACAGTGCTGTGTCTGGGTGTGGGGAGCTCAGAGCTGCCTCAGTTGTCATCAGCTTGAATGTGGAAATGGCTTCTGATGGCCTGTGCTTCCTGTTTTGGGTAATGCTAACTTGCCAGTCTGCACTCCAGTCAACAGCATCTGTGACCTTTTCCATTTAATACAGTTCATCATAATTTACATAGTACAGGCATGCACGCACACCAGTTATCTTGCTTGTGCCGTTGCCTCCTTTCTTTCCTGACTTGCATTAGTAATCCTGGGAAAACAGCGATCGACTGTGTGTAGTTTTTAGCAGATTCCCACTTTGTATAATCACTTTATTTTATACTGTTCGCGAAACGTACAATAACTGGAGTGGCTTATTGATGTAGTTTGTCTTTTAATCTATTTGCAGCAAATATGCTTGAATCAAAGTCCTTCGAAGTGGAGCTAAAAGATGCAGAACCTGACATTATTGAACAGCTCGTGGAGTTTGCTTATACCGCAAGGTAGTTTTGTTATTTAAAGCTGACACTTTCTCTAGGAAGCCTGCCAATTGTAAATGATAAAATCTTAAAATAATGCTTCTATGATTCATCAGTTTTGTTACCATTACAATTCTTCATTTTGTTTAAAGCCTGATGTGACTAGACCTTTTATCCTTCTTCCCTTTTCCTTTTTATTTAATCAGTAGGAAGCCCTACAGACTAAAGAGAGTGGTAGTTGTCTCCAGAAAAAGCAATTCAAAGCACTTCAAGCTTTTGACTTCAGAGTTGGAGTCAAATGGTATTTCCCGTTGTTCTGGAGTTCAGGCCCTTACTGATACCAGCAGGGTTTCTCTGTATGGCTGTGGTAGCCATTGCACAGAACCACTTCCAGGAGTTATACCTTCATCTCTGGACAGGCAGGGTGGATAGCTGTTCTGTGAACAGCATTTCCCTCCTATCTTGGGTTGTCCATAGAGGGGGCGTTGTTTGGGTTCTTTGGTTTTCCTCTTTTTTTTTTTTTTGTTTTTTTTTTGTTTTTTTTAAACAGAGCTTGTGCAGATGACTGGGATTGTAAACAATGCTTCTTAATCAGCTCTCATGACTGATGGATGGTAGGCCTTTCATCTTCGTACTAATGGGATTAACACTCCTTAGGAAGGCTTTCTCCTTTCTTTAAGAGGAATCTTGTTGTATACTCCATCTGTGGTGAGAGACAGCCAGTGTCAGCACCCCAGCCGTATGGTTGCCTCCCCTGGTGGCCAAGCCCTTGTTTGTGGGCTCTGTACCTTCTCCTGAAGGACTGCCAAACTGGTGGTTCTGCTTGTGCACTCTGGGCAAATCAGCCAGAGCAGTCTTGACAATGAGTTTAGAGAGACTTTGCTGATGCCTCTTTGGGAGTAGGAGACTGTCAGAAAAAAGGTTCTGTTCATTTTTGGTTTTTTGAAAGTAGCTAATCCCACGAGTCAAAGCACTGGTATGGTACTGCAGAGGACCTGTGTTAAAAGATTATTCTTCAGAATCCAGGACTGTTTACTCTTTGCCCTTCCTCAGTAAAGTAGAGCAAATGAAAGCCATTTGGAAAGATCGCGGAGGGAGGCTGTGTCTTCAGATTGTGTGAAAGATTCTTGGGAAAACAGTGGGGAAATAATTTTGTCATTTATGTGAATTGGTGTAAGTTGATTTTATTTTTTTTTTACTACAACAAAGCAGGTGATTTTAGTGATGCTAATTTCACACCTTCTGTTTTGCAGAATCTCAGTTAACAGCAATAATGTCCAGTCTTTACTAGATGCAGCAAACCAGTATCAGATCGAGCCTGTGAAAAAAATGTGTGTGGACTTCTTAAAAGAACAAGTTGATGCTTCCAATTGTCTTGGTAAGAGAAATGCAGACTTAAGTTTAGTTTATTTTTTAACTTTGCTGTTCCTGAAAAATGGATAGTATTGTCTAAGACAGTAACATTTGGCTAAATCCAGGTGCATAAAAATAATTTTGCTCTGCATCTGAACTGTTGTCCCTTGCTGTAGACAAAACAATCTGGCAACTGTCTTTGCCAGTATCAGGGTCCACTGATTGTGCTAGGTCTCATTCTAGCTTGGCAGCACCCTGGAGTTTCTTGTTTTTTAGAGGACCTTGGCTGTTGAGTAAGGTGGAGCCTTCAGTTGTTACTTTACTTGGGAGAAAGAATTCAACAGAGTTGTAATTTCCACAAAGCCAGTGGATCTTATAGAAGTATGAACAGGATAAATGTAGGTTACTTTTGGTTTTAGTTGCTCTTCATTTTGACTGAGATCCATGAATGTCATCCGGGCAGGTTTGATACTAAATGTGGTCTGTAGCCCTAATGTAAACTTGGTGTTACAGAAAAGGTAAACAAATAGAACTAAATGCTTTTTCATGATTAAAAATTGGTGCCCTGTATTTAATCAGAGATTAAAAATAAACTTGTTTATAGGGTTTCTTATTGACATTTGTCATGTAATTCTCCTAGTAACATCTCAGTTGTGTAACAGATGTTTATAATATCAATAGAAATGCTTTGGAGAGTATCTGAATTGCAATGATTCAGCAGACACTTCAGTGCAGTACAGCTGTGGCTCTGAAACAACTGTTGGAAGAATGATATTGCCTTCTAAGGAAAATGCCACTTACGCTTTTAGGCATATTCCCTCCTCTGGTTTTGGTTTACTAGAAAATTAATTATGGTTTCTAACACTTGCATACTTTGCTAATTTATAGCAAAAAGGGAGATAAAGATTAAGTATGTTTTTCCTCAAGGCATTGTTTACAAGTTGAAATGTGTTCTGTGCAGACTCATAGGCAAGTCCATACTTAATTTAAAAAAAAAAAAAGGGTATTTGAAAGAAGCCATGCCTTTTTTTGAATCTCTTGAAATTTTGTTGAGGTCATACGCTCAGATTTTATCTTTCTGGTTTGCATTTTCCTACTCAGAGCAGCTCAGGTTAGTTGTAACTCGCCAACCCCTGGGCTGCTTCTACTCCACTTGCCATCTCCTCCATAGAAGGAGGAGGAAGACTGTAGCACAGTGAGCAAAAGTTGCTGCCGAAAAGCTCTGTGCCTACCTGGTTTCTAATGGGAAGGTTTGAAATGGTGCTTCTCAGTAGCAGTTGCTATTTATACCTTTATGCCAACCTTCTGCCCTTGCAGCAGTATCAACTTGACTTATTTGTCTTGGTCTGCAGCTGACTGTGCTACCTGTGTAGAAAAGTCCCAGTTCACTGTGGCTTTTGAAGGAAATTGGGCTTGGTTGGTAACTGCTGCTGCATGAACAGGTTGGGGAGGTCGTAAAACCTGGATCCAGTTTCTCAAGCTGTTCCAGTTAGACTTTGTTACTCTGATATGGTGCAGACCTGGTTAAGTATTGTTATCTGCTTTGTAAAGGGGAAAGAAACAGTGAGGAAATAGTGCTGGAGAGAGAGTTAACACAGCAAGTGCTGCAGGTCTGACTTGCCCATTGGTTTGGTAGGGATAAAGATCAGAAGTTTGTGCTCATCTTTGTCTTAAGTTGCAGATGAGTTATGACAGCATGTGTTTTAAAGAAAAAAAAACCGGTAATAACTATTAAACTGGGGTTGCAAGTATCACTGAAATTACGGTAATTTTATTCTATTTTAATAGGTAGTTGCAGTTCAAGTTTGGAAAGGTTTTTTCTTAATTTCTCCTTCATAGGTATAAGTGTTTTAGCAGAATGCCTAGACTGTCCCGAACTGAAAGCCACTGCAGATGACTTTATCCATCAGCATTTCACTGAAGTTTACAAGACAGATGAGTTTCTTCAGCTTGATGTTAAGCGTGTGACGCATCTCTTGAACCAAGATACGTTGACAGTGAGGGCAGAAGACCAGGTGAGATCCCTGTTTCATACCAGCTAAAAGCATTGAACTTCACTATCTTTTTTTAATCAAGAACTGGTTTTAAGTATCTGACTTCTGTTCCTGCAGTATATGATGCACGTAGTCCTTGCTCAACTGTAGAATAAAATGTGCATCCTAGCTTGGTCAAAACCAAGTATTAATGAATATCCACGTTCAAGTGTGGTTATATGTGCTGTTTCAGCAAACTAGGAAGAAAGAAGTCATAAAGGGAGTAAGCAAAACAATTTCCTTTATCAAGATAGCTGTAGGGCTTCTGATTCCTCAGTACGTGAGCTGAATTAAGTTTGACATATTATAGCAGTTGTGCCTAGACTGCGGTTCATGTGCTATCGGTGAAAGTGAACTACTTCAAAGTGGTAAGCAAACTGCACCTTAAGGGCTCCATGCAGATCTACCCGAGCATGGTCTCAGCCCATTCTGGAGAGGAGTTGCTTCTGATGGAAACTTATGCATGCACGAGTTAAGCTTGAGGAACCAAGGGACTTGGAAGCAAGATAAACAAAACACTGAAAGCTAGATGCATTGACAGTGATGGATAGATGGAAGGCCCTTATTTAGGGAGTGGACACACAAAAATTTAGGTGGCTGAAAGGAGCCTGGAGTTTCACTCAATTAAAAGTTGTAACTTGTGGTAGAAATTACATTTACAGCTGTCCCATTTGGAAAGCTTGATTCAGCTTATAGCCCAGCCCTGAATGCTTGTTTCCCAGCTTGTTCTTCCTGCTGTAGGAAAATAGGAAGAGTATAGGTGTTTCTGCACTGCAGCCCAAAGAGATGATTGCTGGGTACTTCGTGTAGCTGCTGGGTACTTCGTGTAGCTGCTGGGTCAAATCCATTGAAACCATACTGAAGTCTTGCCTTTCTAGCTATGCTGTTCTGGTGCTTGAACTAGGTAATTTAAGTTTGTTTAGGTATGTCATCATGAGCTGACTCATACTTTTGAAGTGCAACAGTTCAACTACGATCTCCGTATCGAGGTGGTATGTGTATCCACTTAGATACAAGTGGATGTTTTCCTGACTCTGAAGTTTAGCTTACATTGAAGAAAATCTATTAATTCTGTGAAGGTCCTGCAGTAAAAAGCTTCAATGAAAATAAGACTTACTAAGAGTGAGGGATAATGCCAGGTAACTACTAGCCAACTATCATACTCCTAGTCATAAATATGAGTTATGTTACAGTTCATCATTCTTGCTGTGTGCTGGGAAAAGTTCAGGTCACAGGGTAACGTTCTCAAAGCTGGAAGTGTTGTTTAGCTTGTGGCCAAAATGACACTTTTGAATTTACATTCTTGAAGTTCTGTTGGTAAGGTAGGATGGGGGGGTGCTTTAACTTGGCAGCAGTGGTAGAAATCTTGTGTAGGCAGCACAGCATCATTAAAATTCCTTTAGGGAAGTGGCACTGTGCAGTATGAAACTGCAGAAGTTTGCCAGTGATACTAAAGGAATCTTATTTCTCAGGAGTCCTGCTAGAAAGTTGACATTATAAGCTAACTTTTGTATTGGTGTAAAGCATATTTACATTTAGTAAAAAAGGAAGGTAGCTTTAATTACTATCTGTCCTATTTTTCCTGCATGCAAGTAATGTTTCTGCTGATGAAGGGATATAATGTTCCTGTCCCAGACATTCTGTTGAATTTCCTTAGTTGGTGGAATTGAGCCTTAAATATTTTTATTTACTCTCCCTTGCTCCCTGATCATTTTGCAGGATTATAGCTGAGGTGGTTTAGCAGTCCTTCTGAATAACTCTAATTCTGTCCTTGAATGTCTTTCCACATTCTCAGTCATTCCATATCTCAGTCACTCACCACTGATCACGGAGATCAGTTTTGGCTACAGGAGCAGGTATTGGCTGTGCTATCACTTGTAACGAAGTTAGTGCTGACTCTGAAGTGGCAGTGTAGTAGATAAGCTTGCTGTGTCTGAGAGCAGCATTGAAGTATCTTAGTACATAGGTAATACTGGATTTTCATTTCATTCCTTCTTGACCCACAGGATAAGCATAAACAGAGCAGATTTCTCTGTTACCTTCCTTGTTCTGCCCTCCATGCCCCATAAGAAAGCCCATTATCTTTTTTCCTGTAAAGAGGAGGTAGAGAGGAGGTGCTCTGAATGGTAGAAATCTGTCAGTCTGCAGCTAAAAACTTTGGTCCCCTAAGACATGACAATAGCAATATATTTGGATCCCCAACACTATGATTTGGTAACAGAAGCAGTTTGTCAGCTCGGGAGACTATATCAAATAGAAGCTATTTCAACACTTCTGGTGGAGTATTACCTGTGTTCGTGACATGGAACTCAAAGCATATTAATCTTAACCTGGTACAGGGGCTACCCACATTAATGTGAATTGCAGGTTCTTGCTTCCTGCTTGGGAAAAAAAGGGGAGAAAAAAAAAAAAAAGGCTAAATAGCAGAGGTAGTGTTTTGGGTTTCTTTTAGAGTTTGTAGATGAATTTTATTCTGTGGTAGTACATTTGTTTTACTTCATGTCTGAGCACTGTCTTTTTTTGATGTTTGGTTGTTTTGTTGTGGGGTTTTTTTGGTGTTTGGTTTTGGTTTTTTTTTATTGGAAGATGGTGATTGATCCCTACATACTAAACTATTAGTATAAATTAACCTCCAACAGGCAGAAGAATCAATTTGGAGCATTAAACTTTCATATTTGTCTTACTGTGTGGTGATGTACCTTATCCTTTTCTTTCCTTTCCTCAAGGTTTATGATGCAGCAGTCAGATGGCTGAAGTATGATGAGCCAAATCGCCAGCCATACATGGTTGATATTCTTGCTAAAGTCCGTTTTCCTCTTATATCGAAGAACTTCTTAAGTAAAACAGTTCAGGCTGAACCACTTATTCAGGATAACCCAGAATGCCTTAAAATGGTGATCAGTAAGTTGACCTCTAGCTGAAATCTTTAATGTTCTGTATAATTAAAAAAAAATGCCGTGGAATTTTTGAAAATTGTTTGCTTTAAAATGCTCTGGCAACACTTTCGCATTAAGTTCATCTGACTGTGTTCCCTCTAGGATGTTGCATTTAGTTGAAGTTGGATTAGCAGATTATCATGTAAATAAAACTCATTTTATGTAACAGAGTGTGACTTTCATTTCTTTTCTCCTAGCAAATGAAGTGAACTCCATGATGAGTACTGGAATGGAGATTTTGTCAATGAGTCATTAGGGTAATTGGAAGTGTTAGTATGCCTTTGGGACAGGCTAGTAACTTCAATATTGTTCATGTTCATACATGCATTAATAAAAGAAATATTTTGTGTCAAAATTTTGAATACTAAGAAGCTTCCCTAAGAAAATCAGAACGTTAAGTATATGTTATGCTATTTTAATCTCTAACGTATACAGACCATTGAGCCTAAAGACAGTTGCATTCTGAAGGTGCAGATGAGATGAGGAACAAGCTTCACTTACGGTTTTAGACACCATTTGTGAAATTTTATCATGTAAGAAAGAAAAGCCTAGATGTTGATAAATATTCTGGAAGGAAACTTTGTAATTTCAGTAGCATTTAACTAGTTGGCTTCATGTTAGTGTAGATCTAAAAAACATTATGCAACTGTTTTCCTTCAATGAACAAGGTTCAAATTAACCTATATGTTGGTAAGTATTTGCTGGCCATTGACATATCAGTCATGCTTCTTGTGTGACATGGAGTTGGGTGAATTGTTTAAGAAATAAGGATTTTTCTTTGCCTGGTTTTTGTGGCTTGCAATGTCACTAATATTTTTGTGTTCTTTGGAATGCTTCTTGGGAGAATGCTTATTATACCAGTTGTCACTAATACTTTGCATTGTCAAGCTAAGAACAAAAATGAGGGGGTTTCGTGAGGTACAATATGCTAGAGATGCCTTCCTTGGTTAATCAGAATTTGGGGGGGGTGAGGAGGCAGTCATGGTTGGCTCCTCATTGCGTTGAAGTCCCTTCTTTTAATGTTAGTATTGTCCTCTTCAGGCTCCCAGTTCTGCTGTTCCTTTTCTTTGGGTTTGCTTTCTTTTTGCCTGTTTCAATGCAACAAATGTAGTTGCTTGTTAATATTGGCTAAATGAGCTGATTGATAAATTGGTATATAACGTGAGTCCTTATCCATGTCCTGTTTTCACGTGAAGCAGGCAATTTGAAATAGGGCGTAAATCTGGATTTGTGCTCCCATCCTCGTGTGCTGCTGTGCATTCTTCCCTTTTAAATCAAAGCTGTATAGGTGTAATGTAGAAACTTGGTTTCCCCCTTTTCCTGCCTTACCCTTTCCCCCACCCCCCATCCCTGCCTCTGAAATATCCCTTTCCATGTGTGAGCAACACTGGATCTGCAATGATTGTTGTCTTCCTTCCAGGTGGGATGCGATACCATCTACTGTCCCCAGAAGACAGAGAAGAGTTAGTGGAAGGTACGCGACCAAGAAGAAAAAAACATGATTATCGCATTGCTTTGTTTGGAGGCTCACAGCCCCAGTCCTGCAGATATTTTAATCCAAAGGTAATCGTTACCTCAGAATGCATTAAGATTCACTGTTTGTAATCTTACGTGTTTTATATGCTGATGATATTAACTAAGACATAATGATCTACAAAACAGCGTTAGGAAGGATGTGTTCCCTGCCTCTTGGGTATACAGTTGGAAGAGTATGGTTAATTAGGTATTTTGAAATCTGTGTACCTAGATGTAATACTTCATTTTTAATAGAATGATTATGTTTTTGTTTATTGGCAAATATTAGATATGAAGTTCTGATAAATCCATCTGAGTTGAGAATTGATTGATATGTGCATCCCACAGCTGGAAATAAATAAAAGGTCACCGAAACATCAAGCAATCTGTTAGGAATATATGAGAGTCTGTATGCATGTGCATGCATGTATGTGTTCAGAGAATAACTCAAAGCAATTTCTTTTTAGCACAAAGTAAATTATTGGCTCATATGTTAGTATAGAACCCAGTTTTAGAGTGCAAGGTGTTTTTTCAGTGCATTTATTATAAATATGCAACCACTTCTAAATCCCAATTGCTTACAATTTTGTTTGTTCTTAAGAGTATATAAGGAGAAGAATTGGGAGCCAAATACTACGTAAGTGAAAGAGTGACTTTCTACAATAAAAAAACTTAGAGATGGCCAATTTAGAGCAAGCAAGCAAGCTTTTCCTGAAATTTGTTTCCATGTTTCCTGAATAAAATCAAGCCACAGGAATGGTCTACATTTCAGCTATGCAGACTAGATGGTCTAGAAACATCAGCTGCATGCAGAAGGATTAGCCATACTTTTTTCCAGGCAAGCACATGCAGTAATACAGAAAAAGCTGCTACATAAACATTAGGGCTTTCTAAGTTATGAGATCACATACACGTAATATTTTGTTGCAGAAATTCTGGTTGTTCTAACTCAGCATATTAAATGCTTGTAATAATTTCAAACAGTTTTGTGTTTTATCTGTGTGAACTTTAAAGTCAGTGTGAGCCCTGTCAAATCTAATTCAGAATGAATAAGCCCTTGGGATGCATTTTGAACTCACTCACATTCCCTTATGTAAGATAAAACTGAAGTGACCTTCTTTGAGCACCACTCAAGTCTGGGGAAAAAAACTACCAGCTTTGCTGACTTAGTTTGAGGGACATTTAATAAGTATTTTTATTGGGAATTCCAAATTTCTAAATAATGACCACCTTTTTCCTGCATACACATACTCAAATAAGATAAGCAGTACTCCAGCTGGGGGTGAGGAGGTGGGGGGAAGAGGGCAGATAATTCTTTCCTTTCCAAGGTCTGAGCTGGGGAAGGCTTTCATCAGGGCATTCATCCTTTTCAAACAGTTACTTGGTTTTGGCATTTTAACTAGTTGTAATTCACCCAGTGTGCTCTGACCTTTCTTTTATTAGAAGGAAATCAGATCAAAGTTTCTTTCTCTTAATCTCCACTTACTTGTGTTGGAACAAAGCTAATTTTAGGCAGGATGGAAACTAGCTTTGAGATTTACTGTCCCAGTCATTAATTGGCAGTGGTGTTATCAGCATAGCGTGCATGTGGTCTCATTTACCAACCTAACCAATAGATTACATTCTGTAAGTGCCTAATGTCAGTGGTGGTCAGAACTCAAAAGATGGGGGTTGTTGCTTCATCACTCTTTATATGCTAATATAGTCCCATCCCGTCTGCCCCCCCCAATTATCACCATGTATCTTTTGAAAACTTAATCTTGTTTGAAAAACAATAACCTTAGTGCATGCTGAGTGGGAGCAACAGGCAACGACTTACAACTAAAAGGAAAATTATGTATGTAGTTAGGTGATCTTCAGTCAGACCTAAGCTACAATATTACAAAGAATTCTGCTTTGTGGACAAGACGTCTTATCTATGTAAGTCTACATAAAGCATAGGATAAAATAGCTTATTTTTTAATGGACTATTTGTCTGGCATAACGCCAAACAAGAACTGAATTTGGAAGAAATCTTGCAGAACTGCCTCTTGATCAAGCTTGCATGTGGCTTAATGGGGGGGATGGGGGTGCAGGGAAGGAAAAGGAAAAAAGTGGGCAGTTGGATATCTTGATTCTAACAAGCATGTCTTCCTTGAATGTTTTCCTAGTGCTTATATGCTCTGTTGGGTATTCTTAGCTAGCCTGTCATGTCTTGTTGAATAGCTTTCACTTCATTTCCAACTCTAAGCTATTTAGAGGTCCTTTTCTGGATGTTTTGCTTGAGTATCTGTCTGATCTTTAACTGTGACAGTAGCTTCTTAAATGCAACAAACCAAGGATCCAGGACCCTTGTTGAATGAGCACCGTGTGCATGCAAAATAAGCGTGGGTCGTAAGGCTGCAATGTTGCAAAGACTCTATCTTGTTTAACTCACCTTAATTAGTCTCATCAAAAGATGATGGGAGTATCACACAGCAGAGAATTACGGTTGTGTATGTACTTCTGCAAGGTTAGGACCTTGGGAAAGAATTGAAATTTTGCTTGTTGTCTGTTGAACTGATTGAATAGTGTTTTAGTCCTTCACTTTCACTTTTAATTAAATTCAGTAATGTAATTAAATTCTTATGTGTCAGCTAAAGAAACAGTTCAAAACAAAGGTTATGTTTTTCCTGAAAATATTTTCTCAATTGTGATATAAATTTAAATAATTACAGCACTATAAAACTAGTGCAAAAATTTTAGTTTTCACTGGTTGTTTTGCACGCAAAATTAGTCTCTAATGTTGATTTTAATTTCCTTGTTGTCAAAAAGGGTTCTTTAAATAAGAATGGATTGGATACTGTGTGCTATTTGTTGAGACTGTTAGCGGTATTACTTAAGTCTATATTTGTTGTCTTTGTTGCACTGTAACTGATATTTCTATTGATGCATGTACTTCATCAAGAGAGTAGAATGATGCAACAGGACAGATGCAGGCGAGCATAAAACTTGTGGAACAATCTGGCACTATTTTGAGTAGAGATGTTTGTTTTCAGAATACTATTAGAAATCCTAGATATCCTATTAACGGTGGTGGGAAGCATTTTCTTGTTGAATTTTTCACAAAATATTTTTTAAAAGCTGCTTTTTTTTTTTTCCTCCCAAGTTGGAAATAAAATACTTCTTGTTTTATAAATTCTTGATAAAAATTTATACGTGACTTTATGGGATTTTGAGGCAGCAAACTGCTTGTTCTTTTGAAATTGCTGTCAGAAATGGCTGAAAGTTTTTTAACTTTTTAATGGTGCAAAATCCAGCAATTGCAAGTAAAAAGCAACAGATGCCTGACAATGCTATTTCTTGATGCTTAAGGGAACCAGCATACCTCTTATGAGGAGATAGAGCCATAGCCAATAAGCTGTTAGTGAGGAAGTTGTCCATATTAGGCACATCTGCTTTTTTACCTGACAAACTTGGAAGAGGAGGTATCAGCTGAAAACAAGGGAAAAGTCTTAAACAAAAGGAGGTGCTCTTTCATATGGCCCATAATTACATGTGCCATTCTTGTCACAGGGTCTTGCAGCTGCTAGGAGTTCAGATAGTTTTAATGAAGTGATTAAATTCATGAAAGAGAAAAAAGTCTTTCAAAACCTATTAAATACAAAGGTACAGCTTCTGCCTCTGATGTCCTGCATCACAGTTTGTTGAAAACAAAGCTCAGCAGGGAAAGTGTCACTGTATACCTATCTTGGTCGGTCTTTCTCTACTCGGTCCCCCAAAAATGAGGCTTGCCACTGCCCAGGGCTGTGTGGATCCTGACACTGGCATAAAGCAACTCTTCTGCATAATTCTTAAATGTGTAAAATGCATAAATTGAAATCAAGTCTATGTGGTGCAGACTAACACTGAAGAGCATGACAAGAGAATAACCTAAATTGCCTCCTGCTGAGAGAGGAGGATACTGCTGAGTATGCTCAGGTTATGGCTTTTCATTTGATAAAGGTGTGCATGAAATGGCAGCTACGAACCGTAGCCATAAATGTGGGTCGGATCACAGCCCTTTATAACAGTAAGGGAAAACAACAGGATTTTTTTGTAAAAGTGCCGGAAGTTTGAGCTAGAAAATATGTTGATCTTGCACAATGCACTAAGACATTTTCTTAAGATTTATGCAGCTATTTATTTTGCCATGCTGTAGTATGGCTTTCCTTTCTAGGATGCCCCAGGACCTGTTTCTCACCATAAAGGGCCACATGCACCTGCCAGCTCTTCTTGATATGGGGGATGCTACAAGAAAAGATTGTAAGATGTTTTGGACTATAACATGCTCTGCCTCTCTTTCTTTGAACCCCCATGTAGGAGTCGCTGTTCTTCCTCATTGACCAAGGTGTTTGAAGTATGTCCTTGCTAAGAAAATGTAATGATGTAACGTCTTGTGTGAACCATTACAATGAAGGTCATTCAGCAGGTTGAGCTAGACCATTCTGAGGTGGCACAGATAACAGTTAAGGTCCCATATTTTCCTGTTCAGTATAGGACACAAGCTATGCTCATGGAATATGTGAGATGCTGTTACTCAAGAAGTGTTTCTTGTGCTGTATGCTATCCTGGTCTGCCATCATTGCTGAGTTTGGTGTTTTTAAGGCTTTGGGTAGCATTACTGCCCATATTTGATAGTCGCTGATTTTGCCAGTCCACGCAAAATCAGTTTCTAGGCAACATGGCTGCCAGTATTTGTGATGGAGCATTACCCTATCTCTCATGCTATCAACTGTGGATAGCTGTAGATCATTTGTGTTTTGTAAATTCTGTAAATAAGCTTCTAGTTGTCATGGTAATAAAGTATGTATCAGAGCTTTTTAACTGAGTTGCTTGTCAATTTGCATATTATCTTCTCTTTTTTTCCATCGCCTTTGTTTGGTACATTCTGTATTTTATTTTCGTTTAGAAAGAACTTGTTACTATATGTAAGATGTCTTTTTCCACTCCTATAAAAGAGAATGCAATCCTACTTTACTGATCACATGCATTGTTTCTGACGTGATAGCAGCAGGAGGTCAATTATGTTGGAAAAAAAAAAAATCTGTTTTTCAGGGAAGCTGTACTGGGTGCACACAGGGAATGAGGAAATAGAAATTCGTAATGTCATGGTTCATTGCAGCTAACTATGTCTCTGTCTAAGAGAATTTTTCAAGAGTACGCCTGAGGAGTATTCTTCAATAAACAGTATTCATGTTTGTTTTGAAAAGGAACTTTAAACTGACCATATCTAAATCTGTGAAAAGCTCTGTTTGAAAAACACTCGCTGTGCAGGTAAGTGTTATAATTTATTAGACATTACCTGTTCTTTGTAATGCAGGATTACAGCTGGACAGACATCCGATGTCCCTTTGAAAAGCGCAGGGATGCAGCTTGTGTCTTCTGGGACAACGTAGTTTATATTTTGGGTGGTTCCCAGCTCTTCCCTATAAAGCGAATGGACTGCTACAATGTGGTGAAGGATAGCTGGTATTCCAAGCTAGGACCTCCAACACCTCGAGATAGCCTTGCAGCCTGTGCTGCTGAGGGCAAAATTTATACATCTGGTGGTTCAGAAGTGGGTAAGACACTAAAAATCTTTAAACAAACCAAAAAAAAAAGCACAAACATACATACCTGGAACTTTTTCTGGTTTTTGCATGACTGTTGAAAAGAAACCGCACGTTGCCATGTTAGCCTAATGAGTTTTTTCCCATATTTAGGATTTTATCCTCTCCACCATCCAACGATCTGTTTCTGTTGTGTTTTCAAAATGGTTTCACTGATTGAAATGTTACGTATTATAAAGTATTACATATTGTAAAGTAAATATTTACATATTATAAAGAGCATAAAGTACACTGCAACTCTTAGAGTTAACTAGGGACAAGCAAATTACGTTGGGAGTCCCACTCTGCTCTTAACTAGCTTCAATAAATCCACAGAACTTAGTGTGGTTTAAAATTTTCTGTGACGCATGGCCAGAATAGCTGCATTTTGACAATGGCATTCCTTGTATACAACATATGATGGGCCTAATAAGGTTTTTTTTAAAGAAAAAAAAAAAAGGTGGAGAAAAGCTTTTGAAGCTATTGCTTTTTGTGGTGAAATCACACTTGGCCCTGTAAAGGAATTTGTCCAATTTTTCTGTCAATTGACAGAAGTTATCTTCTGTTCGGTATTATGTTGGTTTGCTTCAGTGAATGGAGAAACACTACTTTCTTTAGATGTTATTACTCATAATAGTAAAAAAAAAATTAAGACTACTGGGGTGCTTTGCTTTTCTTTCCCCATAAAACCTAGTGGGTGACTTATGCTATGTGTTATAGCAACATTTTAAAATCTATTTTTTCTTAATCTGATACATCATCAGCAAACCAAAAGTTGGAATTGTAGGTATGCCATATCCATAAACCAGAGCTTTAAAAAAAGCTGTGTTCTGGGGGTAAAAAAACCAACCAAACAAAAAAACCCAAAACAAAACAAAAAAAAACCCCAAAAACCCAGCTCCCCCTACCAAACCCTAGAGGCAGGGAGAAATTTTCTAGTAGATCCTTTTGAGTTCTGCCTTGCTGCAGAGGGAGGTGAGCAGAGAAAAAAAGGTCATAATCGGTACTTAAGATTGGTAAGTCACTTAATGGGAAGTTGTGACATTTAGTTAATGTTATCTGACTTCTAAAATACTTAATAGGTCTAATGTAGCAGCAGATCAGACAGTTCCTAGCCGCCACCTAGTGTGGTAAATGTGATACAGCACCTTCCCCATTACTTGAAATAGGCTTAGCTGCATTGGGAAGCTTGGAACACTACAAAATTTCATAAATCTTCCTAGTTTCCCACATGTCAGTCCATGAGGGAATATGATACAAACTTTGATTGTATAGTTTATTTTCTAATCCATTGTAATTAGTTAATACAACTGTAATGGCAATTTTAATTTAGGAGTTTTCTTTTAAATCTGCCCTCACGTTACTGCACAGTTTCACTTTGCTTTCAATAAATATTATTCAAGACAGAATAGTAAAAGCCAAAAATTAATAACAGCTTCTTTTGCCTGTACTTTTTTTTTCTTTGGAATCCAGTGAACGCTGCTTGTTTGGAAAAGTCTGTCTATCCTGAATCTAGTATTTTCTAATTTGGAGCAGGCAATGATGTGAAACCATTAATTGGAGAAAATGCTGCAGTGTGTTTAGCTGTAGAGAAATTTAAAAGTTGCATGCTTTTTGCATCGATGGAAGAGTTTTGGAAAACAAATTACTGTGCCAGTTGGTTACAGAAAACAGGGCTTGTTTCCCCTTTTTGAACTGATGGGAGTACTGTTTTATTTGCAGTAGCTAGCAGAGTTTGAAAGCTAATCATACTAAATTCTTCCGCTACATTTAGGTGCAGGAAAAATATTTAACATTATACCGACAGCATACTGAAAATGGAAGCTTTTACCTTTTTTTAAAAAGACATTAAAGACAGTTCTGCTGTATTTCTCATGGATGAGAATTTCTACAACCTCAAAGCAATAAGGATATGTATTTACATCAAGGAAAAAAAAGTCCTACTCTATACATTTCTTCATGATACTGAGAATTACATGGTAGGAGTAAATAAATGCACAGTTTATAGAAGTCTGCGCCTGTATTTTGGGTTTGGAAACGTAGCACTGTTTCGAGGGTTCAAATTCCCAGATGGTAGTGAGTGCTGCTAGTGTGAAATAATTTTTAGAAGTAGAAAGCCAAGGAACAAGAGGCACCCTTAACTATGCTAGGTGGATATATCTATTGAAACAAAGGGGAGAAGGATCCTGGTTCTTCTGAGAAAGTTGTAGCCAGCCTTTTCTGCTTTGGCTATGGTTCAGCTAGTTACCTGAGCACAAGTCTTTAAGCTCCCATCTATCTTCATTAGAAAAACTGCTTTTGATTTCAGTAGTAGTTTTATTGGCCCTTGAGGGAGGAGTACACAGACCTTGCACTTCCAGAAAATAAGTATCTGCCAGTCCCCAGGAGGAAAGTAAAATGGCGAGGAGTAGCTGTCTTGTGGTTGCTAATAATTCAGGAGTATGTTGTGAGATAATCAAGCTACCACATTCCAAAGGCAACAAGTATTCTGGGAATTGGGCAAGTCACATTGCTTAGAGAAAAAGACTCGTGAATCTGTACCGAGTTTGCAAAGCTGGTTTCATCTTCAAATCAGAAAGTTCAATATATTTCCAATTAGTGAGAGTAGTGTGAGATGATGACAATATGATCAGTAATTTATATACTTACCTGTTCAGTGTTTATTCCCCCCTAAGAAAAGTCATAATTTGCTTTTGCTTTTAAACACGAATAGCATTTTTATAAACTCACTTGCATATTTTGGAACAAAAGAGTTAAGACTTACAAGTGTGTACTTTCTGAATAGTCCCAAGTTTCAAGTTGGTTAGTTCTGCTTTTGGAGGTGGGAAAGCAGCTTTCCCTTTTCAACTAACAAATAAAACATCACTTTGATAATTACTGTTAGACTCTTCTCTTGAAAGACAACCATAAAAATTAATGCCACTTTGGTGGGTTTCTATTTTTTTAAGGAAATTCTGCACTGTATTTATTTGAATGCTATGACACAAGAACAGAAAGCTGGCACACAAAGCCCAGTATGCTCACTCAGCGATGCAGCCATGGAATGGTAGAGGCAAATGGTCTCATTTACGTATGTGGAGGAAGCCTGGGAAACAATGTTTCTGGAAGAGTCCTAAATTCCTGTGAAGTTTATGATCCAGCCACTGAAACGTAAGTATTGTACTAATCCTGATTATTTTTGGTCACATCCAGCTTTGCTTGCTCTGTAAATAACTGAAGCATAGAGGAATAGGAAGGAATTGCACGTGGTAAGGAATTTTCCCGAGTTAAGCTGTAATAAATTGATTATTTGTAGTTTCACTTACAAGGCAGTTTTTCTTCCAGATTTCATTTTCCTAATGCTAAGTTTTATTTACATATTTTATAGTTCTTTTCTAGGAACTAAATAGTGAGTTTTCCTGTTCTGTTTGGTTTTCTTTTTCCCCAGGTGGACTGAGCTGTGTCCAATGATTGAAGCCAGGAAGAATCATGGGCTGGTGTTTGTAAAGGACAAAATATTTGCTGTGGGTGGACAAAATGGCTTAGGTACTTCAATTCTATTCTTTCTCTAGCTGGTCACACAAGGTTTCATGGGGGCCTTTTTTCTTTTGCAAAGAATTCATTCTGCTCTGTTCAGCTTTTGAGCAGTACCATAGAACGTGTACTGCTGTCACATCACTGTTGCCTTCCTCCTTTCACCTCCCTGCTTCACTGCATCGTATTTTTCAAACTCTCTTACTAATGACGGTACTGTCAAATTCAGATATGCGTACATACTATAGCCCACTTCTGCAGTAGTCAGTATGGCTAAACCAGTCATATGAGAATTTTTTTTTGTTATTCATTATGTATTTTGAGAGATTTTAGCATTCTTTTGAGAGACAGGTAAAGGTGTAGCCACAACCCACTATTTTAAGAACTTCAGTCTAAAGACTTAAAGCTAGTCAGCTATTTTTAAGTGGTGAAAAAGTGAGAACTTTTTTGACTGCCCTAGTTCTGAAATATCACTGTCATGGAGAGGTCACTTATGATCCGCCTATCTCCTTGTCTTTAAAAGTAGAATAATAATAGCTTATTTCCCAGGAAAACTGAATTTTAATTACATGGGGTTTCTGAAGTGCTTTTCAAAATGGAAAATTCTCAGCTATAAGGTTTATTAAAAACTAGATATATGGTAACTGGAATATTTGATTTCAGACTAATGCTATTTTAGCATATACTTTGTATTTTAATTAGTTACTAAAACTATTCCAGCATGATTGATTTCTAATGCAAAAATATCAGTAGATGCACTTGTTGCGCAAACACTATCAATCAGTTATAGCCAGAGCTGCCACTTTGCATGTTAGCATATTCAGTGGATGCTCCTTTTAGAGGCGTGTACTACTGAGCCAGTAAGTAGTATTTTGCAGCTCATATTCTGTAGCCTGACTGATTAATTGTGCTTATTGTAACCTCACGGGGAAGAGTTATGCCTGGGGTGAAATATTCATACCTCTTAACATTATATAAAGGTTTCTTAATATCTCAGATCTAGTAATTCAGGACTGGAAGTGAAAACTCTAACTCATACTACAGTTGTGAAATAGGGATAACAGGATGTTTGTAGATATCGTAAAGTGTAATTACTAGCCTATTTCCTGAAGAAGTAAATATTTAGTCACAAAATCCACTCTTCTCTACTAACTTTCGTTTCCCTTGGCCCTTTTCAAAGGGACTCAGGCTTTTAAACTTCAATGATTCTAATATCCTAAAGAAGAGAGACAACCTCTATCAGTAAATGACCAATTTAGGTACAGGGACTGGTGACCCCTCTAGAATAAAATGCCCTCACTTATAGGGAAATTTCAGGTGGATTCCTGAGTTTTAGTCACTAGCCACAAATCTGTAAGAAACTGGGCACTGTTAGTTCTTCTGTTCATGAAGTAACATGTCAGAATCTCTAGAAAGCGTATAATGTGAAATTTGTTACAACATATCTCACTTTCTGTCTCCTTTTTACTTATCCTTTTATAAATACAGAGAGATAAGCTGCTAGTTTAGAAACCTGTGGCCTTTTTTCAAGTTGTTTTTTTACCCTAGGATTTATGTTTTAATCTAAACCTTGAAAATAAAGACTAGCTTTAATAAAGCATTTGTACGTTCTAGTTCCGTCCATACGGTATAATGTAATAAGCAGTTATCTATTTCATTGCTTTGTAGGTGGCCTTGATAATGTAGAATATTACGATATCAAGATGAATGAATGGAAGATGGTGTCTCCAATGCCATGGAAAGGTGTAACAGTGAAGTGTGCTGCTGTGGGATCTATAGTCTATGTCCTGGCTGGTTTTCAGGGTGTTGGTCGATTAGGGCACATTCTTGAATATAATACTGAAACAGACAAGTGGATAGCCAACTCCAAAGTCCGTGCTTTCCCAGTGACAAGTTGTTTAATCTGTGTTGTAGACACTTGTGGGGCAAATGAAGAAACTTTAGAGGCCTGAAGACCTGTAGGAGACGCTGAGACATTCTTCAAGGACTTGGGGAAAGATAGGCTATTGGTGCTTTGCTTCCATGTTTTACTGAATCTTGTTAAACTGAATAATAGGAAAAACTGAGATGCAGTCTTTCAATTTGTATATACAGCATATTGTATGACATGGATTTTTTCATGCCCATTTTCTTGTCTGTTTTAAGAGATGGGGATGTGTTTTGAGAATCCACTTACCTAGCTGAGATCATGTGGCATCTTCCTTTAAAAGGACTCTGTGTGTGGCCTTGTCAAAAATAGACCCAATCCAGTTCTTTAGAAGAAATCAGAGCGTTTGATGAAGATAAGATTTCTGGTTAAATGACACTTTACTGAGCTCAGTTGGCAGAGATTCTTCATTTAATAAAGGTGAGTAAATGCAGCTTGGGTCATGAGACATGTGAGCAAAAAAATTTTCTCATTTATACCTACCTGCAGAAATCTTACCAGGATGCAACGAGGATTTTCCTCAGGGAAGACCAAGGACAGCAGTATAATAAAGATTCCCATGGCGAATGGGGATAGGCTGTACAGCTCTCTAGGTTACGACAGCTGCCCTCTTCCAGTGACTTTCTTCCGTCATTTGCATGACTGCGTTATCAATTTTTAAAGTTAGACAGGCCATCTATAGAAATTAGAGAAACACTTTGCTGATGACATCTGTGGCATTTTGGGGAGCTTTAGGGGAATGGTGGGGAAAGTCCACAATAATTGTGCACTATAATTAGCAAGTTGGAAACTTGGGATTAATTTTCAATATATCTTCCCAGGCATCAGACTGTCCATACTGTGGATGCCAAACCATTAGCAAAGATACGGGAATAGGAATGGTAAAGCAAAGTCAATACAACAAATGTATTGATTTTTCTTCTTGAAAATGACTGTTTTTAAAATGACATGAACCAAGTCATTAAAGATACTTTATAGAAGTCTTCTAAGGTTGCACATGGTTATTAATCTCTGGTTTACAAACATATAGTCCTGTAAATGTTTCCAGCCAACATGATAGTAAATCTCTTCCAGCATAGAAGTTCAGCTTGCCAAGCTATCGGTGTTGATACTGTGTACATATTCCAACTTCTGGAAAACTATACAGAGGATGTACGTACGTCTGTCCTGCTCCCATGCTACTCTATTATTATCTTCATCCTAATTTTGTCCCCTCTCTTCTAACTTGCTAATTTTTTCAGATCTGTTTCTATGAGACTATCGAGTTAACTTAAAAAGTTGGTGCGTGCCTACCTGTACCTTGTGCATCGCTGGTGGTGTGGATTTTTAGTCTGTTTTATTTCTGAAGATCCTCCAAGTTCTCCTAAGTAGTATACGCTCCAGTTTCAAAGCCAGTGCTTCTCTGTAGACTTCCTCCTGGTTTTCTTCCTCATCCTAGCAACTCTGCATGTACAGAAAGTAGTAGATGCACTCGTGGGCTTAACAGTGGTTCCTGCAACTCCGTTCTTTATTTGGTAGTAAAGTGAATGCTATAAAACTTTTTTTTCTGTTCCCCTTTGCTTTTCCCGAGCCATGAACAAACGTGTCACTGTTGTATCTGTTCCTTAATTCTAAAATACTGTAAAAACTGGAGGGAACTCTGCACTTTCTAGGTTGTACGGGGGCTGTTTGAGGTTTTTTGTATCTGCTTTTGAAATCGTGAAGCACCCTTTTCTAACTTCATGTTCAAGGGGTTATTAATCCTTTTTAAGCCCCTGGCAAACCTGTAAGCACGAAGCAGGGAAGGACTTGGCCAAGCCTTCTCCCAGTGGCCATCCTGCCGCCAGGGCCGCCCGCTACTCCTCAAACCCCTCGGCGCTTTCTTAACGGCGCAACCTTTTGTGCGAAGTGACGCTGCTCGTGCTTACGCACACCTGGTAGTTTGGGGTTTGTTTTTTTTTTTCTGCCCCCCTCGCCTTTTCCCTGGCCCTCTGCCCCATGCCACATCAGCCTCCGAGGGGGGAGCGGCGGGGAA